TCAATTGAAATTGTTAAACACAAACTCTATAAATTTTATTCCAAATTTACAATAAATTTGGTAAACTCTACAAATTCACCATCACCTAGGTCATTCCACCGCAAGTTTTAATTACATAACCTATAATTGACAGTGAACCAGCCGTCGTATGCGATTGCATACTCTTCTAACCAATATATCAGGAAGTTGGTAAATTTGTTTCAGAACTATTCAGGTGACCAAACCCTGACTAGTGTCAACCTGACAACCTCATCCTAGCACAAATCGTTCTCATTATTTTCACAAATAAAACGGAACTGAGTTGTCAGCGGAAATTGGCGAAAAATGATATCTGAGATAAAAGTCCCAGATTAATATATCCACATGGTATCGGGAAGATATTGGGAAGATATTTGATGAAATGGACAAAGGAAAAATATATAGGCAGTAAAAAAATGTCAATAATGTAATATTTCGAGTATAAATTGATAAATGAACACAATGAGTAAATCAAATTTAAAATCGGTTCAGTAATTTAGGTGCCCATTTATGACAAACATCGTGATACGTACTTTTCTCAATAAACCATTCCTGATGCATAAATCTTCTTATCAGGCATTTTTAATAAATGTAATATTTTTCAAAAAAACAATAAGATTCCTACAAATGATATCATCGGGGGTTTATAATAATATAAGAATTTCCATAATTTTCCAATAACGATCAGCCGAGCATAAAGTTGACAGGGGATCAAACTGAGACACGAAATTGAAATATGAAATCATTACTTTTAGCGAAATGAAAAATATTGCATGTCATCTAATATAGAGGAGGAGTGAGTCATGAATATTATCAAGAAAAATAAATGCCTCAGATGATGGGTTTTCTAATATTTATGTATAGACTTCTTCGCCCTATAGGGCGATGGTTATAAACGCCTTAACTGCTAAAGTTAACAACTTAGTCTTCCCGATAATCTTATCAGAATTAAGAGGTCTTCCAAGGGCTCTTCACCTCAACTCGACTAAGAATAGTTTCCCTCGGTTTTATCGCCGTATTTCATGAACTATGTATAGTACAATCAGGATTTAATGGTAATGATGAAGAAAACCAACTTGAATAACACCTTCAAGGTAATGGATCAAAATCTCCTTAAAAATATATGTTTCTTACCATAATCTATGACGTAAGTTTATATTATTATCTTCATTAAACAAATATTTTAAATTTTTTCTCTATTACGTTTTTGGCAAGGAATTGACCAACGAATTTGTTTTCGTTTTCCACTTAACAACGAGAAGTTGTATAATAAAAAGGGCAGCATCTGGAAAATATCGTCGGCAATTCCATGTCCATCCTTACCAAACTCATTATCTTTCCTTCGAGTGTGATTTATAAGGCATTTACCTACAAGATTAATAACCTTGGTGTATACAGTATAAGTAAGATATATGGTTTGCGGTTAATTTGAAAATATCCTCTCTAGTCTCTTGTTGTTGGTCGGTGGGCGTTGCAGAACACGAAAATAATTATAAACTGATTGTAGGAAAAATAAGAATTTTATTATATCGGAAGAATATATCTTTATTGGAGGTAAAGTATTTCAATAAATCATGTATTGGTAAAAATTAGTTAGGGATATGGATAAGAGCTGTCAAGGTAAAAATCAACTAGAAACACCGAATTGTTTTAAGTTAACTAATTTTATATTAAACTTTTCTTACTTACTGATATACAGTCGGTGTACATTCTTCACTAAATTGAAAATAGCAGAGATTTCACACAGGACGCCTTAAATTTTATTATATGCCATCATGAAAGATACTTCAAAGAATATGTCTTGCAAGTTTAAGGTTGCAATACAAACGGAACGACCTGCACAATTTTTCAAAATCATTTACTAATACACAGTGAGTTCTTCACTAAATATTCTCAAATTTTTGCTATACTTCCTTTACAAAATTGCAAATACCTGAAAATTTTGCAAGACACTCCTTAAATTTTATTATTCATGAATATAATAGATGGTTAAAAAATAGGTGGAACAAATTTCAAGGTCGTAATACAAACGGTGCGACCTGAGTTAATTTTCAAAAATCATGTCATAAATATACAGAACTTTATTAAATATTTCAAACTTTTTCACTAAATAGCAAATATCCGAAATTTTGCAAAGTTATGCATAAATTTTATTATTTAACAATGCAGTAAATACTACAAAGAATATCTCGCATAAATTTTAAGGTTGTAATACAAACAATGCGGCCTGAGCATATTTTCAAAAATCACTTATTTATATATAGTTGTTTTTCTCTGAATTCCTCAGATCTTTCCTGTACTTTCTTCACTAAATTTCAAACAACTGAAAATTTTGCAAAGCTCAATTAAAATTTTATTATTTGCCATCAAAGTAGACAGTTTAAAGAATAATTTGTATAAATTTCGAGGTCATAATACAATTGGTGCGATCTTAGCATATATTCGAACCCAACTAATATTCAGTTGGTTCTTTACAAAATATCTCAAACCTTTGCTGTACTCTTTAAATTGCAAATACCTGAAAATTTCGCAGAGAACTCCTTGAATTTATTATTTGCGATTAGAGTTGACGGTTCAAAGAATAACATAAGCAAATTTGAAGTGAATAATACAAACAGTGCGACCTGACTATATTTTCAAAAATTATGTTACTGCTATATAGTTGGCTTGTGTACTCAATACCACGACTCTTTTCTGTACTTCCTTCGCTAAATAGCGAATATCTAAAAATTTTGCAAATAAAAAAATGAATTTTATTATTTGTTACTATAGTTGATACTTTAAAGAATAACTGGTACAAATATCCACGTCGTAATACAAACGGTGCGACCTAAGAATATTTTCAAAAACAATTCACTAGTTTACAGTTGGTTGCGAAATATCTCAATCTTTGATGTACTTTCTTCACAAAATGGCAGATATCTCAAAATTTCCCAAGAAACTCCTCAAAATTTATTACTCGCTTTTATAGAAGACATTGCAAAGAATAATTCCTACAATTTTTCATATTCATAATACAAACGGTGCGACCAGAGATTATTTTAAAAATCCCTAATATACTATTTGTTCTCTACTAAATACTCTTCACTAAGTTGCAAATTACTAAACAATTTTCCAATCCAAATAACACTTACACCTAGTTCTCTATTTCTCGTTACTATCCAGTTCCAGAGCAACCCTTATATATAGGTTGACCTTAAATATTTAGCAAAGTTATTTATTGATGCCGCCCATTTTCCTTCTCAAATTAGATTACAAGAAAAGAAAATGGCCCGAATGGCACTTTAGCTTTTTCCACGACGGACAATGGTAACGTTCATTTCTTTGCTTTAGTCTCATTATCAGGGAAACGTTTCTTCCAGATATATAAATGTATTTTTTCAGTTTTTCTGCTAAGACTTGATTTTTTGTTCCATTGTGTTACTCTGTACGAGCGGTTTCCAGATAAAAATCGTTACAGAAAATTATTCGCACTTGGCTGAGATTTGTGGTAATAAAAATAAATGGTGTATAGTAATTTAATATTCATGGTTTAATTTTTTGTTTAATTTTTAATCTCAGTGAGAAGATCGATGGATGGATATATTTACTATATGTACCAATTCTTTTTTTCTCAACAAGAAATAGTTACAAAATTAGGTGTTAGATTTTTGGAAATATGCTAGAGGTCGCACCGTTTGTATTACAACCTTGAAATTTGTACAAGTTATTTCTTGAGCCATTGTACTACAATCGCAAATAATAAATTTATAAAGTTCTTCGCAAATTTTCAGATATTTGCAATTTAGTTAAGGAAGTACAGCAAAGATTCGAGATGTCTATTACGATCCACCTATATATTAGTAAATGATTTTTGAAAATATGCTCAGATCGCACCGTTTGTAATACGACCTTGAAATTTGTACAAATATTCTCTAAACCATCTACTACTTTCTCAAATAATAATATTTAAGTATTTTTTGCAAATTTCCAGATATT